TAAGTATTTTTGAAATTATTTCATAATTTAAGCACCACGAAGATTATGTTTACAATAATAATGGAGATAACAATGAAATAATCATTGGAACTTGGAAAAATCGTGTAAAAAAAAAACCGGAAAAAAAATGCAAAAAATCCGGGCGGCCATGCTACAGCATAGGACTACCGTGGTAGAGGCGGCGACGATTTTTCCGGGGTTCGAACTCGCCTACCCTAGGGACTTTAACCTAACGCCTAAACCTACGGGACACCTACTCAGATGTTTTCAGATGGAAAAATTTGAGGATTTAAGCCGTTTGTATTCATCAGCGAATACTGCAATAAACATTGTTTAACCGATGAAATCCGTAGGATATGGGCATTATTTTTATTGCATATAGTTAACAAAATAGATGTAAAATCAAGCTATTGAATGCAAATACATAGCAATTTCTGTCGTTGTAATAAAACTAAAATATTTGTATTGCTATTATTATGCGTAATAGTATAAGTGTATACGGTTCTGCATCAAATAAATAGTTCATTTATTTAATATATAAGCAATATACAATTGAACGTTACTCATTCAATTTGGAGTGTATTAATTGTGAAATCCAATATTATATCACAGCATCGAACACTAAAATATTTTCTTTTATTTATTACATATTACATATTTTGGGTTTTCGAGTAGATTTATTGAAATCCAATCACAGGATTGTGTGTTGATCTCATCGAAATCGCCTAATAATTTTTAATTTAATATATCGCATTCGGACGTTCCACAGTCGCAGAATTGTACGATCGATATGGACCTGACCGTCGAAGAACAGTCCTGTTTCATTTGATATATTTAACCGAGAGAAGGACAAAACAGTAAGTGTAAGGATCCGTTCGACGACTTTGGTTCGCTCTGTAAAAGCGATTCCGAAGTGTGAGAATGGGGCACGAAGAAAGGCGAATGGAGCTCGAAAAGCAAAAGTTTTGAAACAATCCCGGCGATGAGGCGAGGACGATATTTCAAAACGATAACGCCGCGATATTTTTTCGCGCTCCCATTGGCCCGGAAGCGAACGCTCGTTGAAGAAAATAAATATTGGTCTTTCGTTCCGGGAGGAAAAGACTCCGGGACCTTACCATTTTATATATTAAGACTAGATTCCGGCGTTTGTCATCCCGACTGCGGCGGAAAGACTGTGTGGGCGGTGGTGCATCTTGAGTACTTAATCAAAAGACCGCGACGGCGATGCTGGGTTTTTTGATCCGGCCTGCGGCGGGAACGCGGGGTCGTCGGGTATTGTGTTTTGTCGTGTTGGCAGCACTGGTTAAGCGGTAATTTTTGAAATTGGAAGAGTGTCTAGTCGTAAGTCGGAAATTCGGATTCCGAGTTTGAGTGTCTAGCTATCAGTCATCTCGGGTGAAAGTCGATTCCCGAACGGACAATCCGCCTACAGCGAAAAGTGCATCCCGCCTGCGGCGGAAAGACTGTGTGGGCGGTGGTGCATCTTGAGTACCCCCAGACCCCCCGTGTTAGCTGCCCGTGTACCTCGATTCCGGGCGTTGTGGAAGCCCCCTCCGGCGCCTTCGAGGCGCTCGAGTGAAAATCGTTTCACAGGAATTTCAAAAAAAAATTAAAACGTACCGAAAACTGTGAATTGGAGTGTAGAGTAGTCTTTGGTGCTCGTCTGGTGTAATACCGTGCCCCGCTGTATGCCGGTTCTGTTTTGTTGACTGTTTAAGAAATTAGAAATCGCGAATAATTGTAATCGAATGTCTAGCCATCAATCATCGCTCTATGCAAATCTATGAGTTATAGGGCATGTTTGCATGGCGGATTGGATGCATGACCCGTCGCATGCTAGATGTTAGTGAAAAAACGGGAAATGCAAAAACAAACCCCCCGTGTCAGCTGAAAGTGGCTACCGATTGCGGAGACTGAGTAGTTGAAACTACAAAAGTCGCGATTGTAGGTTGGCGAGAAAATGTCAGGGGAGGTGATAAGGATTTGTGATAATGCGCTCTAGAAGTGTCGTTTCGAAGGCGGGAACGTTTGAAAGTCTCGAAATATGTGATTGAACGTTAATTTGATAATTAAATACATTTACATGATACCAGACATCATTATTTATTACTTTTGCTGTCACAGAATTGGTAAATGTGTTTTGAACATTGAGATTTTACTGCTGTACCATCAGTTACACTGCTTTTTCTGTAGATTTTGTTAAAAAATAACAGATTTTTACTACCTACTGGTATACACTAATATACACAATAATACATAAAGCCAATTATACATTATAGTAGGTGCAAGAGTTTATTATAAATATTATGAGGTATTGTTTTATTTATGTCTATTTAAGTTAGTTATCAAAATTAAAGAAATTCACACGACATTAGTATGTGTTATTAATACAGACACAGAATTTAGAGTTTAGTTACAGCTGAGCCCTCAGTATA